TTGTTCTGTTAGGTAGAAGCAGAGGAATTTCCCTGCTCGTACGTCGAAGGTGTATTTTTCTGGGTTGAATCACATTTTACACTTCCTTGCTTGGTCAAACACCCTTTTTAAGTGGAGCGTATGGTCGGATTCCTCTTGGGATATCACGATCATATCGCCCATGTAAACTCCAAACATGTCTCCAATCTTTCCCCAAAAGACTTTGTCCATCATTCTCTGGTACATGGCGCCGACGTTTTTCAAGCTGAAGGGAATTATGTTGTAGTAATAGTTATCCGACTCGGTCATGAAAGTCGTGTATTTTTCTCTCTTTTTGCCATGGGGATCTGGTTGTATCTAGAGTATGCATCCATAAAAGACAATAATTTAAAACCAACATAATTATTAACTAATCTATCTATGTTGAGCAATGGATAAGCGTCTTTGGGGAAAGCCCTATTAAAATCGGTATAGTCAATACAATTCGCCATTTTCCATTTGATTTCTTTACAAGTACAACATTATATAGCCATATTATGTACTGGGCTTCACAAATGAAATTTACCTCTAGGAGGTCTTTTATAACTTGCTCGACAACCTCCATTTTCTCACGAGTCTTCTTTCGCCTATGTTGGGCAACAACCTTAAGGGCAGGATCTATCATCAACTGGTGACATGCTTTTTCTGGATCCAAGTCGAGCATCTCTGTGGCGCTCCAGGCGAACAAATATGCACTCTCTCTGAGACATACTTTTAGTTGCTTCCTCGCCAGGTCGGGGAGACCTGTAACACCCTTCTAAACCCACATACATTTCACATATATTTTACGAAATTAAATCAAATAAAAACACCAATAAGAGTGTCACATCTTCATAAAAGCATCATATAAAACATCCTGCTTTGTAACACGGGTTTTCAAAACATCTAAAACAACCATTTCTTTCATATTATCATATATCAAAATTTAAATCATCGCAGCGGAATCATAATCTCAAAACATCTTTATTAAAAATACTTCATAAAATCTTCCTCTCCCTTCATCATTCAAGATTCATAAATCAAACAACTAAATACCATAACATGTAACTCATCATCTCAAAATAAACAAAAGTATAGTAGTTTCAAAACAAACATTCCCAACCCCGATGTTATATATCAGAGCAAGACCTTATAAAATAAACAAAAATAAACAACGCACTCTGAAGCTAATCCTCTAAGCTTCAACGCACTAAGCATGATCACCTGCAAGTTACCCACATATAGAGGCAACATTTTCAAGCAGAAAGGGCGAGTAATCATAATCATTATAAAAGACATAAGGAATAGATATAGTAGTTAGATCACGATAGAAAAACATCACACACCATCAAAACTTCATGTTATACTCACACCTTCACATCATTATTTATTCATAACGTCATCATATCATGAGTTAACAATCATCACCAAGACATCATTAGTTCACATATTCATAAATCATCACTTAATTAATCATTATGCAATTCCACAAAGAATGTAATGCAACTTCATTAGACTCATGGATATGGTACCAAAACTTTACCAATGACTCAGTCATCGCTTCTCCAAAGATCCCCACCAATAGGATCAATTCCCGTTTGGAACTAGAGCACATCATAAATTACACTCAAATCTGCACTATGGGATTTAGGCCATCACTGGACTGTTTGTCCTATAAACTTCACTGGATTGAAGTCCTAACAACATCACTGGACCAAAGTCCTAATCATATGCCATGAATGTATGATGTATAACAACATAATAAACAACACAACCACTACTAGTCAACACACATCATCATTTATGTACTCATCATATTCTCATCACATACTTCATCATACACACATCCTCATAACAACATCAATACATCATAGAACACAAGTCAAGTTACATCAATACATGGTTACATCAATTCATGATAGAAAATACACATACTATTTTATCAACATATAATCTCATAATATCATAATAACATAATCAATAGAAAACTACATCATATGATTAATCTTATTTCACCAAATTATAGTTTATCGCGTTAGCTTTCTAACGCTTTGAACGACGCATCAATCGGAGTTTGAAAACTCAAGTTATGGTCTCTTGAAGTTTCTGTAAGACATCCCTCGCCTGAGGAAGCAACTTGCTCGCCCGAGGCTCACTCAGTGAGGCTGGAGCGAACCACGTTCCCCCATATAAAATCCAGGAGCTTGTTTTTCTTCAGTCACCCTCGCCCAGCAAAGCTATTCACTTGCCCGACGAGCTTTTCTCGCTTCCACTTCACCCGACGAAGCTGGGGAGAGTCACCCTCTCCATTCAAAATTTCCAGGGGCTCTGTTTTTCACCCCTTCCCTTCGCCTCTTGCTCTCCTGGTGCTGCTTAGGCGAGGCACACTCGCCTGGAGAAGCACATGGCTCACCCAACGAATCAACGCGAACAGGGAATTCCCTGTGTGTTTTCTACATTATACCAGTCCTAATTTTATTGCGATTTCAACATAGAACAAGTTCCAATTCATCACAAATACTCATGTTTTCATCATATAATACCAACACCTCATATTATACATCATACACATCAATTCATGGTAAAATAACATGGTAATTACATTAATTTCGTCAAAGATTCATCATACTCATCATGTTATCAATTCACCACAAAAACACCAAACAACCTACAATTATCTAAACCTTAGGTCGATCATAATAACAATGATAAACTCCCCTTACCTTAGATTCCTAGCAGTAATATATTCATCTTCGCGTTCTATCGAACCTTCTGAGTTCCTATGTGCCCTAGCTCTCTTCACAACATTCTTCTCACTTTCATGATCACAGAATGAACACTGACACTCACTTTTCCTTGTTTAACTCTTGGACCCTTTCTATGGTCTTCCCATCTTACCTTCACTTACTTCACAATATTAATACCTTGTCCTCATTATTTCTACACTTCATATTATTTCATTTATTTAATTAATCAATAATTCTAAATAACTAAAACTAATTACCTAAAATTACTCGAGCACTCAATATTACTTCACATACATCAAAAACATAAAAAACATCACATATACTCATAGATACATCACAAATACTCACAATATTCATATTTAAATAATTAAATAAATAATCTAATTATTTTGAGGTGTTACAACTCTCCCCCACTTAAAAGAATTTTCACCCTCGAAAATTACCTGGCAGAAACAAAATCAGACAAGACTCTCTCATCTGATCCTCGCGTTCCCAAGTCCAACTTTCACCACTGGTCCACCCTACAATACCTTTACTAAGGAGATATCTTTACCGCACAAGTGCTTCACTTCCCGTCGTTCTATCCGCACAGGTGATATTTCAACAATCAGGTTATCTCTCACATGTACATCATCCATTTGAATCACATGCGAAGGATCGTGAATATACCTCCTCAATTGAGACACATGAAACACGTCATTAAGATTCACAAGCGACAACAATAAAGTAACCCGATAAGCCATCTCATCTATTGTTGTGCCGTGAAAAACATAGAGTCACCACTAAAATTTATTTATCCTGAAGGAAAGGAAAATATCGAGAAAATCCCAAAAGGAGGGATAAGATGGTCTTGCAACCAAGATGAAGGATACTGGAGTCGACTACACGAGGGGAAGGTATTAGCACCCCTCACGTCTATGGTACTCCACGGGATCCACTCTTGTTGTTCTAATCAAATGGTGTGTTATATCTAATGCTTACTTGCTAAGGAAATGCATGCGTGAATTTCTTAAGGAAAAAAGAAAAGTTTTAAATTATTATGCCCGCCGCGTTTGTGAACTTTTTGCCTACGTATCCTCTTCGTGCAATGAGAGATCATGACACTCGTACTTCACCTGAAAAATATTGATTTGTTGTGTGTTTTTTATGGGTGACGGACTCTTTGAAAAAGGTTTTGAGTTACACCATCAAGATAAGATGCCACATTTAATTGATTTGTATTTTTTTAATTGTGAAAGTGTTTGAGATTTGAACCACACCAAAGACTATGAATGAAAGAAGGTCGAGCTTCGGGAATAGACCCACTCATACTTCCCCATTACTTAAGGCTTGTGAAAGTGTGATTCTCATCATTAGTTATTAAGTGTTTTTTTGGAGTTTGAGAAGAAAAGAAGTTTTAGTTTTAGTATGTAATGCAAAAGAAGAAAAGGACTAAGGGGAACTAATCCTAATGTTGTCATGTATCATGGTCCTAAAGTTGGGATAAAGTAAATTCTATTAATTGTTGTCATCCTTGATTTTAAAGGGTAATGTCTAATTCTAATTCAATTTAATCAAAGATTAAAATTGAATTAAAACCAACCTAAAGGATCATGTTAAGAACATACATGCAAGTACAAAATCAAGCAACAAGTATTAAAATATTGTATATGATCCGTATCAAGATAATATCAACAATCACGAACAAACACCTATCATGAATAAAACTATTGATTAAAATTGGCAAAAAAAAATTAAAAAGGGGAAAAGAAATCTCCTAATTAATTTCTAAAAAAACCTACTCCTAAAATCTAATATTTTTTCCGTTTTCACTATTTTTTTATTGACAAAATTATAAAAAAGGAAAAAGAAAAAAGAAAGTAAAGTAAAAGAAATTATGATCTAAAGTCAGAGGGGTGTGGAGTTGGAGTATAGGGAGTTTTACTGAAGTAACAATGGTGCAGGCCCAAGTAGAGTGAATCCATAGGGAATTTTTTTGTGCAACTTGCTTCAGGCTTACGGACTTAAGGTTGATTTCCTTTTGAGTCCAGCAACAACAATAATCAGCCTCAAATTTTTATTTATTAAGTGAATTAAAAAAAAAAAAAAGTAGAGTGCTATGAAACGGTGCGCATTGTGTTGGTCTAGGGTAGAAAATGTGACTCTCCGGCTTTCCGCTCATCTCTCCCCATTCTGCGATTCACCTCTCCTTCCCATCTCCTCCTAAATCTAACGAGATCGACGAAGACCTAAGTTACTTCAGCATGAAATTAAACGATGCGTGTTGTACTCACGGCCATTATTCCATGGGATTACGCTTCACAAGGCTCTTCTCAACGTAAACAATACAAAGAACGAAGCGAAAAGGAGGAAGAAGTAATGGAGTTCGAAGCGATTTACCTATCGGAGAAGGTCCGGTGCCTCCTCAAGCGCAGTGAAGCGATGACAAACCAGAGATCTTCAGGTAATTGCTGCGTTCTCTGCTTCTTATCTTCTTCTTCGTCCAATTCAATTTTCTTCTTCTGCTACTTTTTCTTGATCTTTCTGTTTTCTGTTACAAATCTTCTAATTTCAAATAACAAAGATACCGAGATATAAACTCAGTATTGCAGAGAGTGTGAGGTGGTTGTTGTAGAAGGCGTTGATGCGTGATGAGATTGCGTTGATGCGTTATGAAGATTGAAGGATGGTTGTTCTGGTTGGGTGAGGTTCAGAGATGAAGGTTGAAGGTGAAGTTGATGGGAGAAGGTGAAGTTGATGAAGGTGGTAATGGAAGAGAGAAGGTTCAGAGATGAAGGTTGAAGGTGAAGTTGATGGGAGAAGAAGAAGGGTGAAAATGGTGATGAATGAAAGTGAAGCTGTGAATAGTGAAGATCTGAATTTTGGAGGGAGTTATGAATATATACAAGTGAGGTTTGGGAAGTAATTAGGATATGAGTGAGGCTCGGGTGTGATGACTGGGATAAGAGTCTGTGACTGTTAGGCCAGCTATGGAGTTAGTTATGCAGGATTGGGAGTTAGTTATTTAGGTTTGGGTGAATTGAAGCTTAGGTTCTGATTAGAAATTCTGTTTTGGAAAGTTAGTTATAAATCTCAAGTTAGTTTTGTTAAGCTTGGGTGGATTCAGTTAGAGAATTGAGGGAGGAGATCAAATTGGTTATGAAGTTAGTTTCAGTTAGTTGTTAACTGATTTTCTGTTTTTCTGTTATAGTTAGCTGGAATGAGATGGCTGTTAGAATAACTTCCATTAGGAATTATGTTGGTGTAAACTCCCTAGAAATCTGTTACTGTTACTGTTAGAGTGTGAAGTCAGTAGGTTTGAGTTTGCGAAATTCCGGTTTGTTTTGTATATGGTTTGAACTGATTTTAGAGATGAGCATTAATTGTTTTTTATGATATGTGCAGGGCTGGCTGTAAGTTAGTGTGAGGTAAAGGCTTTGATTAATTTCGATATAGGTTATTGATATCGCAAGGTTGCAGCAGGTCGAGAATTCTGTACGATTTGAGAGCAAGGCATAAAGTGTTGGTCTGAAGGTTTGCAATTTCTAGTTTCGACACTTAGTGCAAGACTGTTAAAGCAAGTTTCAATTGGGGTTTTCTTTCTGAGTTGTTTCTGAACAGGTTTTTTCTGTTTTAAATGATTCAGGCTGCTTCAAAGTGTTAACGCCATCTGTTTTGGTTTATTGACTGTATACAGGGCAGCCTTGGTTTTGTCAAAATCATGGCTTGTAAAAGGCTTGGTCATGAAGATTGATGATGGTGAAAACATGGAACATGGTGAACTCTTGAGGATGATGGAGCTTTAATGTGAGATAGAAAGGCAACAATCATTGAGCATTGGTCTGTAATTTGAAGATCATAGCATGAAGAAGACTTAGCTTAGGTTTAACATAGGTTTTCATGTAAATGTTGTAGCATGAAGAAGACTTAGCTTAGGTTTAACATAGGTTTTCATGAAAATGTTGCAGGTACTTTTGTAATGGCCATGATGTAACGTTCTTCTTGAAATCCAATGACGAATCCCCATATATTCAAATCAAGTTTCTTCAAAAAAACAATTCATATTCTTCTCTTGATTTTGTATTATGTAACTTCCTTTTCATGGTGATGCAGTGATGTAAATGAGCCTCAAGTGTAAGCTTCTCTCACGCAGTTGGTAAAATGGCAATAAAATGTACCAAGGTTCCTTGTTCTCCTCCTTCAAAATGTGTTGTTCTTAAAATGCTTCGTCTCTTTGAATGGAAGACTTTTTAGAATAAGCCATAGGAATTGTGTGGAATGATAACAAATGAATGATATTGATTCAAACATTGAGTGGTGTATAATGTGGAATTTGGAAGAAACCTTGAATTTATGAATTTATGATGAATTATGCTTTGTATGATCTTGAATAACGCCTTGAATATTTAACTTGGATGACAAGAAATCTTCATGAACAAATTCCTCGGTCTTGCATGCTTATAATCTTTGATAACCTGGAACAAAATTTGGATTTAAGGAAACACTTGAATCAAACTTCAAATCCATTCTTTGATAACCTGGAACAAAATTTGGATTTAAGGAAACACTTGAATCAAACTTCAAATCCATTCATAGTATGTGAGGCTCTCGGACAGTGTGGTATCAGAGCCTCAACAGAAAGAAGGGGTGCATATGGCATGAATATAATAAATATAGTAAGTAAGGGAGAAAAATATTTAACCATGGCGCTATCACAACAAAACACTCATCCTATTACCACCACCTCTTCCCTATCACTTTCTAAACTCTGTAAAAAGACTGATACCCATAAAATAGAAAACCTTGTTGAGTATTCTTATGTTCTAGAAGATGTTCAAATTTACGAAACAGTACCTCCCCTTTTAAGCCCTTATAATATCTTCAAAAAATAAAGAACAATTACCAGATCCATCAGAAACCTAATCTCTACCAATCGCCCTCATATGAAAGAATACGTCCAGTCATCTCGACTAGACCAATGTAGTTTGAGAGCAACAAACCAAGAGCAGTATGTGGATTTAGATATTCCTCAGAGTCTCATAAATCACTGGAAATCTGAAGGATACACAACTTTACATTTTGGAGCAGTTAGACTCATCCTCTCTCTCCATGGAAGGAAAAATCAGCCTGTCTTCTGCAAAATAGCTCTCCTAGATTCGAGCTATCTCCATTATGAAAATGCTGTCATAGGGACTGTTCTGACCTCACTTCATGCGGGAAGCGTTGTTCTTACTGTTTTTCCAAATTATAATGTAAGCCTCAACGACAGCACCCTATCTACAAGACTAAAGGTCCAAGTTCAAATCACTGGATCTGACCAAGTTCCAGAGGCCACGTCTGCTACTCTCCATCACCAAATAATCTATCGCCTACAAAATCATTCGATAGATTTGCCTCTCACGGGATGTTCTTCTGATTCTTTGTTAGTAGTTACTAATAGAGAAGAAGATATACCCTATATTGTTCAGATTCCAAGAAAGATCACAAGGGAAGAACTAACTCAGTTAATTCCTCTTGAGTGGATAACAAACTATGAAAAAATCCATCAAGATAGAAGACAAATACAATCTCAAGAGGCCACCTTTAGAAGATCTGTTGACAAAACGGTTAAAACAATTTTCAAAAAATCAGATGAAGGATCGAGTTCAATTTCTCCTATTTTCCAGACCATGATGATCCGACCGATTCTCAAAGAAGATTGGTGCCCAATTCATGTTGTAACTAGTAAAGGAGAACATATATACACTGACAAGATAAATGGTCATTTTATTTGGGACGTAGATCCCAATAAATGTGACCCAGGATGTGAATGTTGGATGCACGGTAATTGATTATGACAAAGATATTATCCTTCCGAAAAGAAAAAACAACAGGGCGTGCAAACCATCCCCCCTCCACAAAGAAGATATGATCCCGATAACGGTCAATGGGTAGGTATCCATGATAAAAAGAAACCTCTTCCTATTTATGACGAAGCTCTCAAGATCCTCAGGAAAGAAAAACTGCTGCCACCAAATGATCCTACTCTGGTTACGTGGTCACCGTCAGACTACTGCAAAGTTTTGGACCCTCCAAAAAATGTGGAGTTAATCCCTTGCTTTTATGTACTCAACTACCGCACCAGAATATAGCCAACAATTTCCTGCTCTAGAAAGGAAGATGGACCCAATCACTGGTAGAACATCCAAACCCTTCATTCATCCTAATGAAGTACAACCCGATGGAAAACTCAAACCTTTAACTCAAGCTGAAGAAGTTCTAAATTGGCAATCAGAAAACATGATTTCTCAAAATGACATCCTCCAAAATCTCGACAAAAAAGTGGACAAGATTGCTGAGAGAATAGACGAGACAGATGATTATCTCAAGGTTCTATCACAGAAAATGTAGAAGCATTACATAAGCTTAAAGGCTCAAGTGTCTCAGTTGGATCGTGATTTACGACAGATGTTAGAAGAGAGAACTTTTGGCAAAAAAATTTGACCAAAAGGAAAGAGAAATCAGAAACCTACAAGGCCAAGTAAAAGAAATAGATGATTTCTTAAGAGCTTCACACGAAAGAAAGCCCAAGCCTGTTGAAAACCTTTTCCTTGACCCTCCTACTTTCCCTATATATTTCAAACGACCAGAAAGACCTTTTCCCTTCTTCCCTACCTATGTTACTTCACCACCAGACCAGGTCAAATACATACCTACAGCTTACAGACCAAAATCTACCAGAACTACCATTACCTCAACCTCCAAGAAAAAAGGAAAGACTGCCTGTTTAAGCGCTTCATCCTCAGAATCTCAGGATTTTCCTGAAACACCTCCTCCAAAAATCCAAAAAGAAGAAGAAATTCCTGATAAAGGTTTTCAAGCCATGACAATCACTGGAAATTGTGAATTTCCCCAGAAAAGTTACTCTCTTGCTGAATCATCGACACAAAAAGAAGACGAGTCCTCCTCGGCTGATGACAAAGACTCCTATCAAGAAACGTCTAGTGATGAAACACCAAGATCTTTTTCATCAGAATCACAATCTGAAGTAAACTACATCCCAAGACTCTTCATGGCAAATATAAAAGAGGAAGATTCATTTTTTGAAGAATCTCCTGAAGAAACTCTAGTCCCTGAAAGGACTAAACCAAATGGTGGTCCTTGGTTCACATTTGATGATATACCGCCTAGTCGTTGGAGAAAGAGACTACTCGAATTCGGAGCATGGCTTGATACCCAAATGATGAAAACAAATGCAGATAGCTATAAGGTCATTAAAGAATTTTGCTATAGAATGACAGGCACGATGAAGGAATGGTATCACAATCTTGGGGCTTTCAAACAAGATGAGTTACACCGTTTAGAAATCACAGCCAATATCCTTGGTGTACTCCACCAGGAGCTTATCGGAGATATAGATATGTTCGATAGAAAAAATAGACAGGAATTCTTTGAGATGAAGTGTTGTTCCCTCAAAACAAAAGACCTCGACAAACACTATCACATGATGGCACAAAGGTTTTATCTCCTCAATGGGTACAACGATCCTAGTCTCAAGAATACCTATGTATCGTCTCTACCACATGAACTTTAGCAAGAAATCCATAGGATGGTAGCAACAGCTAAAAAGGATATTGCAACAATGAGTCTTGGCCAGATCCATCAGGCGACGTTGGAAGCACTTGAAAAGCTTTGCAGCTTTCATCATCAATTTCAAGAAGTTATACAGCAAAAGTCAAAGTTCACCAAGGCCTGCAAAAAACCTTATCTGGAGATTAAGTGTAAAGACAAAAGGTGCAGTTGTGAAACAAAAAAGAAACATCATCATCAAAAATACTCCAAATCTCATAGGAACTTTAAAGGAAAGAAAAAGAAGACCATGAAGTTCTTTAAAAGAAAATATTTCAAAGGAAAGGAGAAAAATCGGAGATGCTTTATTTGTGGGGAAAAGGGGCACTTTTCTAAGGAATGTCCTAATAATACCCACAAAGCCGCAAAACTGATCAACTCTCTTCAACCTCTAGATGGAGACCTAGAATCTTTGTATTCTGAACAAAGTTCTACTGATGAAGAAACAATGTTTTCCCTTCAAGACTCTGCGTCTGATGAAGCATCATTTTCTGAATCAGAAGATGACAAATATTTCCCTGTTTACTCCTTCAAAGAGATAGGAAGATCTCTTCCTACTCCACCACTCCCATGTATTGAAGCTCATGTACTAGCGACAAAGTTTTCCCGTCCGAAGAAAGTTATAGCTTATATGGACACTGGGGCCTAGATTACAATGATGAATCCTAGCATTCTCCCAGCAGAATCATGGGTAACACATGCTACATACTTTGTAGCAGCAGATGGGAAAGTCTTCAGGACAGATTTAATGACCAAGGAAAAGATAGGAATCAAATTCTTCCCCGACTGCATAGTTTGGACCAAGGTCATTGGAAGTAATCTTCCAAATAAAGATATTATAGTAGGGATGGATGTATACTCAGCAGCCAATAGACTCCAGATTCTTCCCACGGGATTAAAATTCAAAAGATAATTCAAACCTTATTCTGGGATATTGAAGTTATATTCACTATCTAAAATCCCTGCTGGATATGAAGAAATCAAGTCCAACCTACTTAAACTCTGTGCAAACAGCCATGAAACATTCTGCCATCCAAAACCTCTATGGAAGAATAAAGACTTTTTTGTTCAACTTCCTTTTAAGCTCAATGAAGATGTTAATCCAACCAAGGCCACTCATCCAGGAATGAGTCCATCAGATTATACATTGGCCAGGGAAGAATGCAACCAGTTGCTCAAACAAGGTCTGATAGAACCCACCAAATCAGAATGGGCTTGCCAAGCATTTTATGTAGAAAAAAGATCTGAAAAGTTAAGAGGAAAAAAGAGGCTAGTAATTGATTATAAACCTATAAACCATTTCCTCAAGGATGATAAATTTCCTATTCCAAAGGCCTCGTCCTTAAATGTTTTCATCAAAGATGCCCAGATCTATTACAAGTTCGATCTTAAGTCAGGATTTTGGCAATTGGGTATCGACCCCGAGGACCGTTACAAAACGGCGTTCTGCATTCCTAACGCCCAATACCAATGGACTGTGTTACCATTTAGGCTTAAGGTAGCTCCAT